CGGTAATGACAATGGTACTCTATTCTGTGGTCAACAACCCCACAAGGGGCTTACGCTCAGCCAAGGGCAAGTTGGCTGGTCTGGCTTGGGCGTGGTGAACTAGGGTGGCAGCGGAACGTTGTCGGTGTATTTGGATCGGTCACTCTGATCTCAGCGATAGCACCCTCGTTACGGGCCTAAATAGAGCGTAGACTGTTCCGTGATTGTTGATGAGCGGTGATAGACTTGCGCGGACATCTGACGAGTTCAATGAAGCGCTCGAGAGGGTGGACTAGAAGCGCCTACTTGGGCTAGGTATTGCGGTATAGCCGTCGCGAATACTAGTTCTTACCTTGGCCTTACCGAAGCATTCATCCCATGGGCACGAATGATTCGCGGTTGTGATGCTGAACGGTTGCCAGTGTGCAATCTCTTATCGTCTGTCTCTTTGTCAACACAGCGATGTATCGCTCTCACGTCGTGCATCTGATCAATCACATCAATCGCTACCTATACGTTCATGGTGCAGCTAGGTGTTGCTTTGATCCAGCAAGCACGGCTATGGAAACTTCTCATATCAGCACTGATGCCCGATGGTCGGTCTCTCGAGTCGGATTGGTATAATAGAGGGTGAAACCCTGTCAACGTTCTAAATGAACACCTTGGAGATTGACCATGCTTTGATAGAATGGCGAGAAAGGTCCCGGTTCGGCATGGTGTGGAGATCGTAAATATCTGGCGGAACGCTCATCCATCCCGTCACATATGTTTTGCTGGAGAAAGGCTCGGATCGTGACATACACAAATTGAGTCATGAACCGGCCGTGTCAGACGCTAGAAGCTACTTGCATGGGCCATCCAGTCCTTCGAAGTTGCGCGCATCACGCTAGAGATGTGCGTCGTCCCGGGAAGGTTCCCGTGAGGTTAATCCATTTTTAAGACTTTCTTTGTTGTCCTTTCAGGCTTTACATTCCCGGGCGCAAAAGATCGACCTCGTCGGGATCAGGCTTTCGAGAGAAATCACACAATACGGTACACTTTTTGAGTCCATGGTACGCGCAATGTGCGCCAAGCACACGCTCAACTCAACAGAGTGATATGGCTACAAAAACCGCGATACAACACGGGATCCTGGCTAAGGCTAAGTTGCCCTCACAAGACGGCGCCGAAGGTCCGCAAAGCTTTTATCTTCCGCGATACGTCAGCGCCTGGAAATAAAGGTTGAGTCAGTCTGCGAAGCTGATACTGATGGAAGACTACTTCTTTTGCTGCCTTTCAATTCCTCAGCTTTCAAGCTTGCATTCGATCACCGCGAAGTTCATCGCCCTGTAGGTCCTTCAACCTGGCCTCGTATGATGGCATGCGATGGCTACTACATCCCCTTCCTACCTTGGTCATTCCAAAATCTTACAATCAACTTTTTGGTCGTAGTGCATGTTGCGGTGTCATCTCACGCTGGGTGATGGATACGTGGTGCCCTGAATCTAGAGACAAATGCGTTCAGCTGCACCACGAGATTTGATGGACTGAGCGCGCCATGACCGACGTCCGAATTTCGCCATGCCATTGGTCAAGTGCATCTGATGCGCTGACTCATTCCTTTGTGAGCCAATCACATCCGCTATCTGCCCAAGAGCGCGGCAGACCAGGGATACGCTGATAAGAGATGCTCCTTCCCAAGACTCGACCACAAGCGAATGCTTCACAGTGAATTCTAGAACTACACTTACGAAAAGAACGCATGGGAGGCTGGACTTGTACGGTTCAGTCCGGGCTATCGCCCGGATTCTGCCTCTTCACACCGCGCGAAGCCCACGTAGGTCCTGCTCAGCGATCTACCTCCACAGATGCTCCGCTCACACAATCTCTCTCCCTCAACTGAGGGTCAATATACACACCAGAGAATCATACCTCCGTGGCCTTACAGAAGACGGGTTCTTACTACCTAAGATGGCACCAAGCAAGGTCTCGTTGCGGATCATTCGTACGCGCCTTCCTTCGAGTTCGCGTATCAATTTTTGGAAAGAAAACGGCCTACGGCCGGTCTTAGAGTCGAGTGGTATCCTGAAATACATTATGTCCTACGACTTCAATGCTACCCGCACCGTCGCATCATCGAGTGCTAGTAAAGCAAGCGTGGACTTCGACACTCCCCTCTAAGCACGCTCAACTCCTGGAGCTGTGAAAGCTACCGTGGATACTACCGCAACCCATCGCCTACGTGTGCATCGTGTGCTCAGATCGTAGGCTCCTGTTCAGTGATACCCTCCGAATCAAGAAACTCATCAAGAGCGCCAATCCGGATACGCCGACATACAGTCCGTAGACGCCTCGCAGGCCATACACGTACGCATCCACGATCTTGGATCGCAGCTCAGCGTTGTCGGTCGCGGCGAACAGGGCGGAAATAGCATGGGCACCCGCGTGCGTACCTGCGGGGGCCAAGCCATCGTCCTCTAGCTTGCGCAGCATCACATTCTGGAAAGTGGATCCGCCGACGCCCACTCCG